GGAGGGTAAATAAAATTCTCAATCCGCCTTCAGATCCTTCCTCAGTACCCACCATGTTTGTGAAGCCTTTGCCACCGGCCCCTAGTTCCCATGCCCAGGTGTAACAGAGCCTGTAACTAAGTTTATGTATTAGTGACTTGCTGCTTGCTTCCCTGTCTCCACTGCCTCTGCTGTTTCCCCTGTGTTGAATGGTAGATTTTAGGTCCCTCAGACCTATTCTCTACTCTGTAAAGCACGTTAAGCAATAGATCAACACACACACAGAATGTGTGTGTGTTGATCTATTGCTTATGTCACTAAAACTGAGGCGTCAATTGAGGAGAATGTGTGTGTGTTGATCTATTGCTTATGTCACTAAAACTGAGGCGTCAATTGAGGAGAGCTATGTTCAGAGCATATCGTACAATACATTTTGTTGTTTCAGATGGATAAGGAACACAGGGGAGATGCTGAAAGTGTCCCTCCCCCATCTCCATCACTGCCTCAGAAGATCATTCTCAAAAGAGATCAACCGTTAGCCTATACAGCAACTGAGGATTCGTTCAAAGACACCGCCAATCTCGTCAAAGAGGACTCTGTTGTATAACTAGCTCAAATAGGGAATAATTAGGCACACTCGTTTGCACATATATTTTTGTAAACAGAAGGAGGAAAAAAAATGGTTCACATCTCTTTATAAAGAAATATATTTAGCCTTTAGCTGGAGACATCTGTTGAAACCATGCCTTGTTGTTATTATTTTTTACACATGTCAATGCCTATTTTTATGAGCAATTATCACGGTGTACTATATGTATATCTTTGCACTGACACTCTCTGAAAGTAATGTTATAAATATACTGTACATTTGTAAATTTCTGAAAGATTATCTGGATGTCGATGTTTTCGTATGAATCTATTCTGAAACTGCATCATGAGGGGTGCACCCCCTATGTAATTAATTATACTAAATAATATAGAGGAGAAGGTGGTGGCCCTCTGCTGAGTTGCAACAACCTTCAGAGCATATATTTATAGGCAGCGCTTTGCTAAGACTGTACTGGTGCTTCTTCTATCCATCTCTGTTTTACATACCAGAGCATATGAAAAATAGGTGCCTCTTTGTATGATACGAAACAGAACATGAACACTTTCCACAACTCTTGTCTTGGGCAACAAAAGAATTACAAGTGGCACAGAATGTTTTTCTCGGGCTAATATTTTTCCTGCTGGGAATAGAATCCTTTTTTCCCTCAGACATCATCTTTCCCTTAAGGTCCCAGTTTTATACACTGTCATTCCAAATGTCTGTAGGAAGCTGGGATGTGCTTTACATTTTTGCTGCATCCACATTTAATTTAGCAACTTGTTTTCCTGGTCATCAATGGAAGAGTTCTATTCTCAGCTGAAGCCTCTGCAAGTCATTTGTGTATGGTTAAAACCAATTTTAGTCTGCTATCCAAAATGCTTGATTTCTGTGCCATAGCAATATGAACAGTGCTGGTACGCTTTAAAATGAGCTATCTCCGATGTTTTTCATGTGAACATTTTTGATATTTGTCAACTATTTATTTCCTGAGCTGGGCAACAATAGAAAGGGAAACCATTTTTACTGATACAGCCTTGTACTATACATCTTGTTAGTTTTTACTACTGATCAAGACTGCTTTGTAGCCATAATTTGAACCCCTTCAGGAAAATTGTATGTGCCACTCCAGGAATAGTCTGATCTGCCATTTAGTGTTCCTGACCTAGCTACTCAGAATAACGCCAGGCTTCGAAATTCATAACAGACTAGACTTCTTCTGTTTGGAGCGCATATATATATATATATACACACACCTGAATTCTCACAAGTCAAGTGCTATCCCTCTTTTAATATGCTTGGTTTTATTACCTTGATACGTACTTTGATTAGAAAACTGGAAAATGCTGCTGCTGAATAAATCCAATGTGTGTTTTATCATTGCCTGTGTTATCATTGATGGACTGTAGAGCATTGAGCCACATTCTCATCTACTGGGTAGAGTTCAGAAGTAAAAAACAACCACCATTTCCCCAAGGCTAGATATGCTTATACATAGTTTGTAGTTCGCAAGAAAATTGCAGAAAAGGGAACTTGCAACACAATCACGTGCATATCGGAAAGATTTGAAGTGCTCATTCGTGGTGGCATGTCCTTACTTTATTTTTTAAAGAGGTGTGAACTCCCCAAATTCTTATTATATTTTTTTAAGCACAGATAAGTTCAGGAACCTGGAACAAGAAAACTCTTCAACTTAAAAAAAAATCCTTATGAATGCTTTATGAAAACTTTTCTTGTTGATTAAGCAATATATAAAACTTATCAAATAAGATAAAATAAAGGTACACTGTTCAGTTCAGGTCCATGGGATTGTTAGCAGCCAAATGCAAGTAAGTGGCAATCTGCAGAAAAAGTCTGCAGAGGGCGATCGTGGTGGAAATGCTTTGTGGTTGAATCAAGGTGTTTTCCTCTCTTAAGGACATGGTTGTCATTTATTGTGAGACAGAGCTAGTGATTGGCCACGGTGCCCCTCCCTGGTATTGTGGTGGCTTCAAATGCGCTTACTTAGTCCAAGCACAGAAACGTCACTAGCCACATCCATAATCACATAGAAGACCTATTCAGGTAGCTTTTCAGCAAACCGGTCAGTTGCAAAGCTGCATGGCATGAGGAGTAAAGGTCTGTTGCTGCTGAGAATGGAGAGTTTGATTCAGTAAATGTTTAAAGCTGAATCTATCGGATTCACATTTCCCCCAAATGATATGTGAACTAAAATTGCTGGCCGTGTGTGTGTGTGTGTATTATTGAAAAGTGTTCAGTTTTAAAGAAATAAAGTGGTACAGAGGAAAAAAAGGAGAAAGCTAGCCTTAGAAATTTGCATGTACCTGGATTTTGTGGTATAGTTCTCCAGATGAACAATGTTTATCAAAATGTATATATTATGGGAACGGCATAATATATAATAATGATGTTGTTAGTGAAAATAACATCCCAAGTGCATTATATTAGGGTAAATGGCTTGCAAAAATGTACATTAGTCAAAGCTGTGTATTAAAATGTGCTTATTAGAAATTTGCACTAAAATGCTGATGAAGGGGTAATAAACTTGGGAGACATCTATATTGCAACAGTGCTCTTAATCAGCTTTAAGATCTCAGTTCTTTCATTGATGATCGCTTGGGCCTGGCACAAGGACAAACAACCTTTTCTGATTAGAAGCCATTTTTTGAAGGGAAGTTCCATTTAGGTATCTTTCAAGGCATTTAACAGAAATCTAATTTCAATATCCTGAGCCCTGCTTGGCATTCACACAAAGTAGCATGGAAGAAAATATGGGATTTTCTTGAGCTGCTGTACTGTCCTGTTGTGTAGCTTTCTGTCTTTCTGGTGAACGGAGGTAAACTTTAATTGAACTAGTTTTTAATGATTAATCAGAAAACCTTAAGCAAACAAAACCTTTATCCTGTTCCTTTTCCAAGACCATTGTGCCCATCAAATCATGTACTGAACCAATAATTTCCTAATAGAAAAAATTCTAAGAAGCTCGGCATTGTAAACTCTTTGGGCTTAATTTGTGCCAAGACTCAGTCCCAGCATGAGCATTTCCCTCAACACTGAGCAGTTGTATTTTATTTCATTTAGATTTGTATCTCTTCCAGCTCTACAATCCTATGATTTTGTGATTAGAAATTTCAGAGAAGTTATATTCACCAGGCAAGATAGAAGAGTCTATAAGAGCACCGTGGAGACAACAGTTTGCTTCAAAATGTTGGCACATTCACCTGCCTTAAACATCTATTTGATATCTTTTTGCTGGATTACTGTCACCCTCTGGAACTGGAAAAAGCATTCTCAGCATCGCGTCAGAGAGGAACGTGGGGGCATAGGAGAGCGGGAGCCACAATAACTTTGCATCCCATCCAACTCCATAGCGCGTCCTTGGGTACTTGGCGGTCAAGGCGTGCTCCATACACTTTGTGACCTTAGAAACATCAGAATCACACAGCCTTCTCATGGATAGCCTTTGCAGCCTTAAATCTGCTAGGAAGATAAAAGACCCCATCAAATCAAGTGAAAATCCAGATTTTTAAAGCTAAGGGAACAGAGATCAAAACACAACTGTAGTTCTAAAGCAGCGATGCAAACACTTTTTACCCCACTAGTCATGCTGCGCCTAAAACTCAGCAACTCCTAATTCATTCAACAGCAGTCAGGTCTGCTTAAAATACAGCGTGAAACCCCATTACCTGCAGCTAACACAATTTCTTGAGTCATCTGTGCACCTGTTTTTCTAAATGTGTCCCATGGGGTGTCTTGCTGTGCCAGTCTTGTCCTAGAGGTACCATTGTGAAGTTGCATTTTGCCAGTTTCTGTTCGTAGTAGCACATTAATAGTTTGGACAAGATGGGAGGACTTTCAGCACTGAAGATGCTGATTCAGTAAGACTCTGCTCAGCAGCTTGTTAGATCTTGCCTGCCTCACAATTCACCAAGATTATTTTACACTCAGAAGGTGCCCTTCCGTTTCCCTTGTCAATGCAATCCAGTTTAAGAGACGGCATATACATATAGCAATATATTTTGGATGCGACCTGTAATGTTTGACTAACAGGATCTATAAGACCTCCCTAGATCCTGTGAAAGCTAAGTTGAAGAGCATAGGTGAAGTTATGGCAGGTGAAGTTATTTGCCTACCTAGTTGTGTATCATCTAATTGACTCTCCAAGGTCTCAGGAAGAGATCCTACCTACTGCCTGCTACCTGGTCCTTGTAATTGGCGATGCCAAGGATTAAACCCAGGGCCTCTGGTATGCAAAGCGATGCACTACCATTGAGCTATGAGTTGGTGCTCCAAATAATAATCCCCCATGGTCACTTTTCTCTGCCTTCATGAAGTGTGATTTTTTGGAAACGCATGTATCTCCCAATGCATTTGATCAATGGCATTCCAACTCGGGAAACGGTTCAGGCCCCCTCCCACCCCACACCATACCTCCCTATCGAAACCGAAGCTCTTTCTCATCACAGTCAACAAAATGATTCGAAGCTGGAAATGATTCATTTTCAAAACATTAAGTTTGGTATAACGCCAAGTAATCCTTGCAGAAATCATCACATAATTGGAATAAAATGCAGGCATTCAAACCATCCCAAATTTTTGTGCTGGACATTTGCACTTACAATCAAGGAAGTATTTCTCCCCGTATGAGTCTCTGGCCTCTGGAGTCAGCTGGTTCCACAGTCTTTGTAGGTCTCTCTCAATGTCCCCTGTATTAGTTACTCCTGTCTTAAAGAATCCTGGCTCGATAATGCTCACCTTTACTCCGAAATGATGCATATCCCTCCTAAGAGAAAAATTTTAAAAACTCATCAGTTTGTGGTGGGTTTTACCAATCCAATTAATGGTGCAATCTTAAGGCTGTGGGGCAGGTGAAACTGAAGAGGATGCACGTGGCATATGCAATGTCCTGCTGGATGTTAATAAAAGAATGGTAAAAGTTAGGCCACGTGAGTCTTATTTGTTTGCTTATGGTTCCCTTCCCATTGGAATAAATGGGATCAAGCTATACCAGGCAGAGATTAAGATCACCTGCTGCTACCCAAGATCCTCTTAGCCAGAGATGTGGAGGATTGAACATGGGACCTTATGCATGTCAAGCAGACAATGCTGGTGTGTGGCTTCTCACCCAGAATGGGGTCCTGTAGGTGGAAGCTGTGCCTGCATATTGCCTCCTGCAAATCCAAGATTGTGCCACCCTTACAGGAAGCAAATGCTCCTGACTTAGCTTTTTCCACGCTGTAGCCCTGATGCATCCTCTTCCACAGTAATCCTACAACTGGCTATTATAAATAGTTGTTGTGACAAATGAGTTTTGGCCTTCCTGTCTTCTTTTCCACGTGAACCCACAATTATACTTTCCAGTCAGTTCAGCCTGAGTTGCAGGCAGTCACAGATGTGATTGAACTTTCTGACAGTAAGAACTGTTGGACAGTGGAGCAGACTCCTTCAGGAGGTGGTGAACCCTCTTTCCATTGGAGGTTTTTAAGCAGAGGTTGGATGGTCATCTGTCCCGGGTGCTTTAGCTGAGATGCCTGCATTTCAGGGGGTTGAACTCGATGATCCTTGGGATCCCTTCTACAACTCTATGATCACAGAGACAGTAGTAATCTACCATCTGTCACCCACAAGTCCACGGCAACTCACCGCAAAGTGTCAGAGAATGCCTCCACTCCCCATTTCGACACACAATAGCCACCCCCTAGAAATGCCAGGCGACCCAGAACACTTGACACGTTGACAATCCTTCCTTTATTTTTTTTCAGGAGGGGGAGGAGCTTCAAGGTAATCCCAATCAGCCCCATTAGATTGACATCCAGGGTTTTGTAGAAATCATCCAGCTGCATCCAGTCGGTGGGGGCCATGGGTATGGATCTCCCAGCGTTATTTACCAAGCCATACAGTCCTGTTTGAGTATTTTAGGAATAATAATAAAAAAAGAATGTGAAGAAGCATGGAAAGGATATCAGAGAATGAACTGGTAATGGGGGTTTGGAGACTTGTCCTGACCTCAGATTGTTACACTATATATCTATATATGAAAAATTTCTGGCTGTAATTTGTTACACTATGTATTCTTACACTAGCAGAAGTAAATGATATCACATGAGCAATACTTTTATCTTGACATTTTGCACTGTGTATAATTGTGTTTTAAAAACTGAAATGAATCTAAAATGCATATACCTAGGGAATTCTGGAGCCCAGGTGCCTCAAATCAGGCTTAATGTTCGAGAAATAGCGTATGTCATTTAAACCCCACAGACGTTGTAGACCATCTGGACAAGTTTTGAGCAAACCATTCTGAATGGATGCTCAATTCAGGTTGCCTCGAGGTGCCCCCTGTCTTTTGAAAGCAAGGCTGTGTTCTATAGGCTGCTTACCTACACCCTCAGTTTCTGCCCGCACAAACTCCACAGCCTTGTCAATACTGCCAGGGTCCGTTAGATCAAGCTCCACAGTTTGCAATGACAAGGAAGTGTTGGCTAGTAGCTCCTGGCTCCCTTCCTTTGAGAGACACGCAGCAATGATGCGGAATCCTTTCTGGTCGAGGTACTTAGCCAGGGCATGGCCAAAGCCACTGTCGCATCCAGTGATGACAATATACTTCCCCCTCAGTCCTTCCACTTTTAGGCAGTCTCTGATGAACCAGCAAACCGCGATGGAAAGGATGACAGCCATCATCCCTATCTGTCCGCCATCTGAAACAACATCAGGACAGCAGTGTGTGGACCTATCTGCCACAAGTTCTCACCATTCCTGTCAACTTGGGCACTTCACAGAGGCTTTTGTTTCCCGTTCCAGTTTCATTGAATCTTCCCGTCAGTATAAGTTGGCAGCTAGAGACTTCTGGCACAACCTGAATAGTATCCAAGAGTAACATGCTTTGGAGGAGCAGATTCCTCCACAGCAGTTTCTCAATAGTTCTCTGCTGCTTTCAAGATGGCATCTGCTCTATATTGGCCACTAACTCCCATCTGAAAAACCCTTCAACGTGAAAAAAGGGAGCTCAGTTAGCAGTTGGGGCAGTGCCCATTGTGGTGAACATTCATTAGTATTCAAGGCAATGATGAACACAGGATAGTGAAGGGAGAGGGGAGGGGAGTTTGATGGCTCTCAAGTGATGTGGAGGACTGTGTTCTTTCTGTTACTTCCCACAATGCCATTCTGCAATGGAAACAGATCGCAACCCTGAGCAAACCGCAAACTTTGGGCTCTTTTTGGTGAGTATAATGACCCCTCTGCTTTGTGTTTTGTATGCTGATACTGGTGCTGACAATCTATAGTCTGATCTATCAGAGACTAGATTTAGCATGGTGTGAGAGTGCCTTTCTTTCTCTCTTTCTCTTTCTTTCTTGACTGCCTTTCATTAGCCTGACCATTGTAACAAAAATGTGTCACAGTGTTTATTCAGCAAGTGATGCCAAGGAAGTTTTCTATCTGCACATCTTTGTATATGAAGCATGCAAAACACATGTTTGCTTGGGCAAATGAATGCTCTTAATTGTGAGGCAATGTAATGATGATATCTTGGCATGTTGTTAGAGTTACACAGGGAAGTTGTAAGCAATAAAGTCAGCAAATATAGCCAGAAACATTTACAGCAATGCTATTTCTCTAAAAAAAATTGGTGCCGGAACTCACCATGAATGCCTCCCTTATTCTTTTATAATGGCAATGGCGCCCACCTGAGAGGGGCCGGAACTGAGTTCCGGCTGAAAAAATGCCCTGATTTACAGTAATTATTTAAACCCTCCCAAGGTGTCATACAATTAAAATACAGTACAGTACAAAAACAATTAAAAATTAAGAGCCGGTAGAAATAAATTACAAACATCCACCCTAAAAAAATACAAAGACACAGCACACAAACCATCAGCAGAACAAAACTCAAGAAGAAAGAGGCAGAAATATGTGGTCCTTCAGTGCTTCCCTAAACACTTGATGTCAGAAGTGAGGAAAACCACATTCTGAGTGGCAGATGCTAGTGCTAAGTGGGGCCAGAAAAAAGCTTTACCTCAAAGCGATACCCACATTGATACTTTTGTAGAAATGCTTGATAAATTCTTTAAGGAACACCACAGGTATCTCCGCTTACCCTCCCACCAGGAAATTCTTATGCTGATGTTCACATGGGGTGTCATCAGCATAAGATACTAGTAAGGCACTGCAATTGAGTACCTATGGATCTATCTCCATGAGCCTTTTATCTCTTAAATCTCTGTCAGATAGAAAACTAATTATAACCAGCAGGCTCAAGGAGAGCACCAATTACAGCAGCCACATGAAATGCAGGCCAAAGATAAAGGGGAATTTAAATCAGGACTGCCCATTTCATGACCCACTGAGCCAGACATAGCTCACCCAGCAGCTGTTGACGGTGGTATACCAGGTCCTTGACAACCTCTCTATGCCACCCCAGGCAGGATCCCCATTATCAAGCTTTTGGTAGAATTAGCTTGCTGGGTCATCAACTGAGCAGACCTGCTTTAAGTGATGGGGGAGGGAGCTCAGGCAGAATCATTAAGGCACATCCATAATTGTTTTGGTAAGGATTTCAGCTCTATGTGCACTTACTTGTGAGTAGGTCCCACTGGACTGAGGATTGCTCCCTTGAAAGAGCAAGACACCGAGCCTAAATACACTTACTTTAGGAATCACCAATGAACAAATCTCAGGGCCTGGTCTGACGATATCTGAGGCCACCACTTTCCTGAGATGACTATCTAAGAAAGACATTGACATTGCCTTGGGTTCCATGGTAGAAGAGAGTCTGGATATTAATGTAACAGCAGCAGCAACAACATCAATAAATTAAATAAAATGAAGATCACCATCATCATCTATACAATACTCATAGAGTGGGACCTATTTTTGATTATTCAGCCTATATATGATAGTCACCTGTCAATACACTGACTGCGATATCTTCTGAACGATTTTGCCAAGGCGTTGGTTTTATTCCGTGACTTGTACTTACACTCTGCAGAGATGTCTCTCCAGCTCATTGCAGGGTCAGAACACTCAATTCTCGGGTTTTATGCTGGTTTCAGAATGGATGGTAGTTGGGATTTCAACTCATGAGGCTTCTCAGTAGCATCTGCACAATTACATCTTTCTGGCAGTCTAAACGAATATACAAGTATTACACTGTGATTTTCTTCCAGGCATTTACTGGCACTAGTCAGGTCCTTGAGACAGTGGATATCTTAATGCCAGTGACCGCAGCTGACCCTTTCACTCAGGCTTAGCCTGATTTATATCCTTGATGCGTGCTACTCCCACCTCAGCTGCCAACAGAAGGAGTGCCAATTCAAATTAGAATAACTTTTTGAAATCTGAAAGCTGCCCCCTGCTCATTTGTGTGCAGATCTCCTCCCTGTACTGTTCAAAGAATAAATAGATTAAGAAATGATTTGAGGTACTTGCCATCTTGTGGGTGTTATCTGCACAGCATCCAACTATTTCATTCATTATCTGGCAGGCAGGTTTTTGGACTTGAATAGTAGAACCTGGCTACCTATTTGAAAATTTGAGAAACAGCACATGTAAGGAGGGTATCATTACTTCTCTCTTTGGTGATCACTCGTAGCCGAGTAAGATTGTCTTCCATAAGCACTGTTTTAACAACGAGTCCATAAGTGACTGTGGAGGCCAATTCTGGATCTACACATCCTTCCACAGTGGGGACATTGGTTCCTAGGCGGGAGTTGATCACAGTGTGGATTTACCAAGTGTGTCTTCCTCTTATCACGTTTCTCCCTTACGTTCTGAGTTCGAGTGTCTTCAAAGCCCACGGCACCTTTGGTAAAGGCTGTTCTCCAACTGGAGTGCTCGCAGGCCAGTGTTTCCCAGTTGTCGGTGTTTATACTACATTTTTTAAGATTTGCCTTGAGACAGTCTTTAAACCTCTTTTGTTGACCACCAGCAGTACGCTTTCCATTTTTAAGTTCGGAATAGAGTACAGTGGTACCTCGGGTTAAGAACTTAATTTGTTCTGGAGGTCCATTCTTTTTTTAAAAAAAATATTTTTTATTAACCGGCCAATCAAATCAAATCAAATCACATCACATAAATTCCGAATTACAAAGCTGAATTTTAAATTTTGTTGAGGGGACCCATATTTCAAGATCCGAAGGGGGATTCTGATCATCTTCTTGCTACTGCGTTAATGTCCAAATCAGTCCAAACAAAGTTCATAATTCTATCCAGTCTTATCTTGCTGTTTCCACATCACATCTTGTTCATATATTTTCTCTTTTTTCTTTATGATCTCTTCTGATAGTCTCCTTAAGCCGATAAACACCAATAATAATCCTGTGTGAATTTTTCTGTTCTTCCAATCCTCAAACCGAGATGGTTTCCATATATCATCGCCTTCATAGATAACATCGCTCTTTCCATCATTAATTACAGAACTGTCGTTCTTAAGTCCCTCTGAGGAGTTTCACCCACAATATAAAAACAGCTCTATTTCTCTATTTCTCCTCCCAGACTTAAGTCCTCCGACAGAACTTCCCAATATGGCGACGGTATTTTTAACTGCATCATTCCAAAGCCCTTATACATTCCACGCTCTTCTTAAAACATGCTTTGGTCCTTAAAACGACATTTCTGACTTGTGAGGGGGGGGATTCTTGTTTAATCACATAAAGGAAAGAAAGGAACGTTTTTTTCCCCCTCCCCCATCAGTCCCTTTGCCATACCGAGTCTTGGCGTATCTTCTCATGATTTATACTTGTTCCTCTGACTTGTCTTGTTTTATCAGAGATCTCTTCTGTTAGCAGTCTTTACTCCCCCTCCTTCCTTGAAATATGTGCATTCGCTTCATCCAAATTGTTTCTTTTGAAGTTCTTGCAGCTAGTGGCGCGGATCAGAGACGGCGTCCAGGAGCGCCGAAATCCCACAGGAGGGCATTGTGCCTAGTGCCCCCATCCCCACAAATTCGGGGGTGGTATAGGGCACAGCAGGCAAGGGCAGTCCGTCCCCCCACAATCCTGGGGGGGTAGGGAGGCTATTTACTCCCATCACTGCCTCCAAATTACCTCGTGTGGGTCAGAGAGATGTTATTGTCAGCCATCTTCTGATGCGCCCCTAGTGGCTCCATCTGGAGGTCCATTCTTAACCTGAAACCGTTCTTAACCTGAAGCACCACTTTAGCTAATGGGGCCTCCCACTGCCGCTGCGCCGCTGCTGCGTGATTTCTGTTCTCATCCTGAAGCAAAGTTCTTAAGCTGAGGTACTATTTCTGGGTTAGCGGAGTCTGTCACCTGAAGCGCCTGTAACCTGGCGTGTCTGTAACCTGAGGTACCACTGTAGTTGCTTTGGAAAACGATAATCAGGCATCCGCACAACATTTATTATAGCCATGGCACCAACGGCAATTTGAAATTCTGAGACAAACTCTTGATCTGATGTGAAGCTCTGGATCAGAGTGGAGAATGAGTGTGGGGAAAGCTAGTTTTATTGAGTGTGTTGGGCTCTGAAATGACCAAGCAAGTATGTCTGCCTCTCTTTGAGGAAGAGGGGGAAATTGCTCCACCAGACAAGCAGAAATGCTGATAAGGAGATCTCATTAGTGTGACGTTGAATTCTTCCCATGGTGATTTACTTGTTATGAAGTAAATATGCACATTTATCCTATCAAGTTGCTTTGTTCCCTTTTGCAGCAAAAAATAAAA